GACGGATGAAACTCGTCGACTGATCGACACGTTTTAATTGCGTTTCGGAGAGGAGTTTCAGAGAGAGCAGGGGAACAATTGATCGTCGTGAGAGAAGCACTGAGGGAAAACGCACTTTCGCGTTTTCGCAGAGCTCACGCACGCACAAACACACAGTCGACGTGGGACAGATTTACAGCAATTAAAACGTGCGAATCCGGGGAAACTCCGGCAGGATCCTCTGGCAGAGGATCGCAGACGGGGGCATCGTTAAAATCATCCTGGATATCAGCGATGTATCTCGCTCGAGAGTCTTTTCTCAGACGTGGTTCGAGAAAGTGAAATTGTGAATTTCATCCGTGCTTTTTTACACGTGCACAACTAGTCCTCGAAAGAGTGCAATTTTCTTTCTATTCTATCGCGAAAATCTAAGTGACGCTATTCTAAATAAATAGGAAACTTATTTTTCCATACTCCTAGGAAATAATTTAAGAAATACATAAAGTTGATCATTTCTGGCGCATCGAGTTGAGAGAAATACGAGCGTCAATAGGTTAATTAACGAGATGATTATTAGAAGTGAAAGTTTAGTCGGGCGAAAAAGTATAGGAAGTTCGTCGCGTTGCGAGACAAGTACCGAGTTATCCAACGTGTGGCGCTAGTTGTCCGTATTGCGAACTTACCGCGGCAAATTGGACCTATCGTTAGTCGAGATTAGCGTAATCTACTTAGGGAGAGATGTAAATCATATTATTACGAGTGATCTCGGACTACGCGTAACTAGCTGTTACGCGATCATTTCAGTTCTAATCTTTTGGCAAATGTTCCCCGATGATCTCGAGGTTGAAATTGAGGCTGTCGAGGTAGGCAGTTGAATAGAAAGTCAGGAGAATAACTTGTGCGTAATTGATAAATAATAGAAGTCCGTTGGCAACAGGAGGTTTGCCGGCAAATTGAACAATTAAAGATAGGAAGGATATTATCTCCAAAACAAGTTGAATCAATTTACCAAATGTTTTTCTCGAGCAAATTGAAAATTGTAATTAGCGGTTAAATGGATAATTTGTTAAGTGTTCTATTCATTCTGCTCTTTCTACGGCTGCTTCCTGTTAATTGTGTTCATCTTTCAAACAGAAATTGAACGTTTCTCGTTTATAATTAAAAATGAGGAGGAATTGTAACCAATTATTTCCGTTTTGCTCTCTTTTTTTTTTTAATATATTAGTAAAGATATCGCGATAATTTTTTTCATACAAAAAAAGAGAAGTTTTAACCCTTTCTTGACCCACTTGAGCCCTCGAACAAAAATTGCTCTCGATTTAATATCCTTGCAGGACTTTTCCCATAAAATTGACCCATTTTGAAAGGGTTGATAATTTTTTCTTTACTAAACTAGTAAAGATATCGCGATAATTTTTTTCATACAAAAAAAAGGAAGTTTTAACCCTTTCTTGGCCCACTTGAGCCCTCGAACAAAAATTGCTCTCGACTTAATATCCACGAAGGAGGAAACGATCGACGGATAAATAGAAAAATTGTCGAGAAAAGAATAATTCGACGGCGATAGGATTGAAAAAGGATATACGTGGGTTTATTTATTAGCGGATAAAGACAAGCAAAGCTCGAAAATAGCAGAGTGCAACGATACGGACGAATGAAACGTCTGGTTGCCACGGCAGGAGATCCATTGAAAATTTACTGCCGGCCATCGGGGTCACGCTGGCAGTTTTCGCTTATCGCGCACGTCTCGTCACTGATACCGAATTTTCGGAATGCCCCAGACCTGCCTCGAACTATCAACTGCACCGATAAACCTTAACGCGAAAGGTGAGCTCTTCTCGTCCATTGTCGACGTTTCTGCTGCCCGTTTTTATCGTTGCACACAGTGTCGCGACGCTGAGGCTCGAGGGATATCTCGGCTAATGCACAGTCGACGAATTACTGCCGAGGAAGATCGACGTGAATAATTGAAATAATTTTCGGGAGAGACTGACGTCGCGTGAAGCATCAATTTTCACTGAATAAAATTCGATAAAATGGATAAATATTAGTAATACATCTGTCGAACGCAGGGGAGTTTGTAGTTTTTCGTTTAAAAAAAGAAAATGTGAAATTAAGGAAATTTTGAATTCTTACAAATTTAACTTTTTTAACGATTCTGTTCAACGAGAAGAAATGTGATATTTTTAATAATTCTATTCAATTCGAAAGAATTTCTTGAGATTGTAAATCTTGCTTTATCTTGTAGTTTCATTTTTTATTCATTTCTACGTTCCATTTTCAGAGTCAGCTTCACGAGGACATGTTTAACTCCTAAAAGATAACAATCCTATCGTATGTTTAACCCTTTCGCTGCAATTGGCGCTTTGAAAATTTTCTCGCACTGTTGGTGACTTTTGGTACACTTCCGCCTTAATTCGATCCTTCGATCACTTCAATTTCGAATTTTCAAACGCCAAAACGAAAGATTTCGCCGACAGTCTACCGCAGCGAAATCTGATTCACCTGAGATCATTGAAAAATCGTTCGAATCTCTCCTCGATCTAACCAAACCTATAAAAAAATCCGCGCTTCTCGTTTGAAAAACGTCGGATAACCTCGGGGAATTCCATTGTGCACCCTCAGGGATCCTCTCTACGGTAGAATCGAATCTGAAACAGCGTTTGAGTTATTCGTGTCAGATGGTAACCGTGGATAAGCTGTAAAACGGAACCAACGTCAGGGATCCATGTCCTCGAGGACATCGTCGATCGTCTATTCGCGGTGAATTTAATGAATTACCGGTGGCTAGACTCTCGCTTGGTGTCCAAATACGGAGGGTGGCTGCCAGTTTCAAGTGGGTCAGGACTGCCTTGACTTCGCTTTGTATGAATTTTAAAGAGCGCGGCGCAGCTGGATCGCGAGGAGACTCTTCTGTGTCGAACAGCTGTTTCTTCGATCGTCTCTATTTATCGTCTACGATCGAACGATTATTTTTTCATTTTTTTTTTTCTCCGTACGATTATTAGAGAAAACTTTTAAAAATTCCTGTAATCTTTGTGCGATAGTAACGAGTGAACTGTGGCGGCTCGAATCGAGGCAAGATACGAGCCGCGCCACGAACGTTCGAAGAACCACAGCAGAGCAACAATGAGAGTTCGTTTCGAGCGGGTTTCCTGGTTCTAATATTAAATTTTCCGGAAGCGCGGTTGTAAACGACGGCTGGATATTATTGAAACCGAGAGATTCATCGCGCGAATGAATTATTCGTGGGAGTAAACGTTGGAATATTCGAGAATCGTGAACAGACTTTCGAGTATTTTTCGACATTTTTCTAATCCCTTTTTTTTTTAGAATAACTCTCCGACGAGTTAGCTGATACGCTAAATTCTTCATTTTCATTGTGGACATTTAAAAACACGGGGAAACGGAAAATTAATGTAGTATCGGGGGCCTCCGTACACAAAAGTAGGAAACCTACACGAGAGAATAGAGAGGGAGTGATTGGCGTAGCGCGCAAAGCCTCGGCTTGCTAAGCCCAAGGTCCCGGGTTCGATTCCCGTTGGGGTCCCTCAATATTTTTCCGTCGCCGGTTCCTGCATTAATTAAAAAATTCTATTCCATATAAAGTATTTAAATTTGATTGGCTGAATTTAAAGAATTCTGCTTCGTTTCGAATATTTCGAATCTACAAAGAGAATAATTGAAAAAAGTCCCGATCTTCGATGATCTATACCAGAAGAGCTGCGTAACTTCTTGCTCACGAGCAAATTTCCCCTCCCGAGGTACATGCGCCCAGTATGCGACTGAGATGATCTCGCTCGAGTTACGGCGCAGCGTGAGGACGCGAGGAGGAGTCCTCCCACCACACTCCAGCGACTGCCTTTTGTTTGTTACACATTCTGCGTGTTCGCAGCACTCGTTTCGTACCAAAAAGCTATCTCTGGAGTTAAGGTGGGGGTGCCTCGGGAGGGGAAATTTGCTCGTGAGCAAGAAGTTACGCAGCTCTGATCTATACACTTTCAAGATGAAGTACTTTCTGCGTTGCACAGTCGGATTAAGGGTCCGTGCAGACTCAGAGACACGAAAACATCGAAAATTAAGCGATAGAAAGTAATGAATGAATCTCGATGATTACACGATCGAGCAGACGCGTTTCGAGACACTGTGTGCCGGCGTCGATCGCGGATTAATCGTGTTACCATCCGCGAATTAGCGTGCACAGTTTCCACCGGCGGTAGTCTGAACAAGTGGAGATACACAGGGTGTGTGTGATAATTCGAAAAGTCAGACGATGGTATATACGCGTATCTCGTTCTCATTAGTAGGACCAGTTTGTCATTGGCTCTCCCGCGTTTTCCCTCGTCCTCGACGAACGCACTCCCGTAATTCCAGCTCACCTGTCTCCCGCGAACAGACAATTATCACGGCAGTTTAATACGAATTTCAGATCGTTCACCGTGCAACGAATATAACTACCGGAGCTTTTCATTAGGCGCGACAGGATCTCTTCACCGTGTTTCCTTCAATAGGACGTTGCAATGAAAGCACACCGGGCTGTTTTCACGTCGTTTACACGTGAAAACAGTAAACAAAAGAGAGAAATTGAATTGAACTTGTGCCATAATCGGTTGAAAATTCTTCCGCCATATTTTCTGTGTTTATTCGTTTTACCTGTTTCCGCGGGCACATTTCTCTGGCGAAATATCGCGGACAGGAAACGCACGAGATATCGATAATCGCAGAGAAAAAGGATAATTAAGTTAAATGAGAAATTGAGTAACAAAAAAGATGTTTCTAGCGTAAATAATTGAAATATACGAAAATATTCTACACGATAGAATCCTCGATCACCGCTGAAAGAGATCAAATAAATTCCTCGAAAGATAGAGAATTGAGTGATTCCGTTAGAAAGAACGAGATTCGCTTTAATTAATACGGAAAGAGAAATTCTTCTCAGACTGGAGACTTTAAAAATCGCGTCGAGATAACTATAACTAGAGAACGAGCGATGACATAAACGTTGTATTTTACTTTTGCAGGTGTAGAATGCAGCGATACGAAACGCGGTGCTCGTCCGCGACGAGGCGATGAGCAGGCTGAATGGAGTCCGAGGAAGCCTCAGAGCCCCCTGGGGCTCCGACCAATGTTCCCTCGTCAGAGTGCTGCAGCGAGATGAACCGTAGTCGCGCGTTACAGCCAATCTAGACTCTCTCAGCTGGTCAGAATTTTCCAGCAAAAGAAGAAGCCTTGAGAAAGGGGAGAAGAAGAGAAATCACGAAGAAAAGCGAACCAACGAAACCAAGAGGATTCTCTTCAGCGCGTATCTATTACACGAATTTGTTAAGCAAGAGGTGTTCGACCACCTGCTTTTTATACAGCCTACGGAGAATTTTCAAAAGAAAAGAAGAAGAAAAGAAGAGAGAATTCCTTATCAAACTGACACACGACGGCCTGATCAACAAGCTCTTCCTATTAAAGACGCGCACAAGCTGCCCTCGAGACGACAGAATCCTATTTAATATGACAGTAGATCTCGCGACGAAGGTCGATCGACGCGCAGCAGCGTACAATCCTGAGCAACGAAGATTGATCAAGTGTAGGATTATCGGTTAGGGTGAAAGATTAGAAGAGAATAGACAATAGTGAAGAAGGATGGCTGCACCGGTGATAGAGAAGAAGCGGTTCTTCTGCCGCGAATGGGCTTTCATCAAGCTGTCCCATTGCTTGGAGCAGAGGCCTGCCTCGAAGACATGCGGTGCATTGATAGTAGGTGGTCCAGGGAGTGGAAAAACAGCGCTATGCGCTGAACTCGCCTGGCCTTCGACCGGTGCGAATGCTAGACACCAGAGATCTTTGAACAGGAGGCTACTCGCAAGGCATTTCTGCCAAGCCAGAAGCGAGACTTCCTTGTCGCCTGCTCAATTCGTCAGATCTCTGGTGGCACAGCTTCTGCACGCTAGCTCCGATGGGATTCACAGGTAGAATAATTCGTATCTTTAATATACTGTAACGAGAACGAGATATACATATGTTGGATGGTGTAATTGCATTCTGAACGTTTCACAGAGCGTCGCCGAGTTCACCGACACCGAGCAACGCTACCAAGACCACCGATGCCACGACAGTGCCGATGACATCGAGGGAGGCAGTGGCAGAAGCTTACGCGGAGAAGCTCAGAACCGATCCAGAGATACAGGCCGCGTTGCAGCCAGACGTACTCGACAGAGATCCCGACGACGCGTTGAAGAAGGCTCTGCTGTTTCCTCTCTTAGAAGTGGAACCGCCGAAAAGTTGCCTGTTTCTATTGGTCGACTCGATCGACGAGGGACAGACGCTGAATCCACCTCAAACTGGTACCAGAGACTCGAGAAGGGAGAACGACAACGTGAGCAGAACGATCGCTGAATTACTGGCCAATCATCATCACCTGTTCCCTCAGTGGTTGTTGCTAGTATGCACCGCTCGACGTCAGAGCAAAACTATCTCGCGAATGTTCACCGGCTTCAGGAAGATTTCTTTGGACGATCTGAGGAAATCTCAAGTAGTTAGGGACGTTCAGCAGTACATCCTTGCACGGTTGGATCAAGAGGATGCGCTCAGGTATACGATTTTTAAGGTTGTGGAGCTGAATATCGAAGCTAAAGAGTATTCTTTTTGCTGGTATTCCGAAATGATGTAGTAATCACGTAGATCTAAAGTACTGTTTCACAGTGTGAACGACAATAGTCGCTGATAATATATAGAGATCGTTTTATAGTGACTAAAATGTTAAAGAAAATGCTCTGTTTTGTTTTTCCAGGCAGCACATCTCACGCGACACAGCCGAGATGCTAAACCAGTTGCACATCAAGAGCAACGGCTGTTTCCTGTACCTGGAGAAGGTTCTCGACGGCGTGGCGGAGAACTTCATCGTGTTGCGCGAGGTCCGCGAGATACCAGGCACACTGAACGGTCTCTACCTGTGGCTGTGTCAAAGGCTGTTCAGCCGAAAGCAATTTGCCAAAGTTCAACCTCTGCTAAACGTGATCCTAGCCGCGAAGCTACCGATCACACAGGAGATCCTCTACAAATGCGTGAAAACCGCTTGTACCACAATCACCATAGAGGATTTCAATCGACGTTTACATCTTTTGCGTAGAGTCATCTCTGTTTCACGAACCGGAGCGTTGATGTTGTTCCATCATAGTTTCGCCGAATGGTTATTGGACGTGAAACATTGTACGCAGAAGTATCTCTGCTCTGCAGTAGAGGGTCACGCAATGCTTGCTGCATATTACACTCTTCGTGGCCCAGAATTGAATCCTGACGAGATTGGAGTGCTTGGACAACACCTGCAACGATCCATAACGAATGCAGCCACGACGAATTGTACATTGGACGTGCACACGCTTCACGTGATTTGGATGATAGGCAGCGGTGCGCCGATCGAAGATTGTTACCTAGATAGCTCGGAGTGTATCCTCTGGTCCAGGCAAGACGTGAAGCTGTTGAAGCTGCTGATCGACGCGGGCGCCAAGCCGTCGGAGAAGGTCGTGGAAGACGATACCAGCAAGGATGCTGTTTCTTCTAGTCAGGTAGAGTTAACTTTCGGAAGGATTACACACGTTGGACGCAGAGAAGGGAATATTCGAATAAAAATTTCTCTCTGTTAGATTTGATAAAATAGAAATAAAAATTGTCGTTTCTACGACAGGTTTCGCAAGATGTAAGCCCTATGGATGAATCTCCTAGCGAACCATTAACGGAACTGCTCGGCGAGAGCGGAGACATCAATCAAGCTGATTCTTGCGGGCGAACAGTGCTACACACGCTCGCTGCAGACGGTAATGCATCTCTGCTGGAGCTAGCACTCGCAACGTGTCCTCAGGTAAAGATAGCCACGTTTCAAAGCGCGCACATCATTCAAAAGCATCGATTTATCCATCTTCTAAACTGTTGAAAAATCAACGTGTACTTTATAGAAATATACCGTGTAATACTGTTTAAACTTCACTACACTATGATCGTCGTTACTTATTATATTTCATATAGATCTTCTAATAAGAATTCAGATTTCTCAACAGTTGAATACAGTATACAGAATAATATTGAAAACTTTCTGATTACACAGGCAAAATTGGAGGCCACAGATAGGCATGGTCAAACACCGTTAAATCTAGCTGCAAGGCACGGTTACGCGGACGTGGTGCGTGTCCTTTTGGCTGCAGGTGCCTGTGCTGATCATGCAGATTGCGACGGATGGACAGCCCTCAGAGCTGCTGCCTGGGGTGGACATACTCAGGTAACTATGATCTCCATCTCTTTCTCTCTCTCTTTCTCACTCTCTATATGGAGAAGAGAAAAATGCAAGTTCAAACAGCGAAGCATCCATCATTAACGAAACTCCTCCTCTGCGTTAGAATCACGAATAAGTCATTCAGAAAAAGAAAAGAAAAGAACAAAATATACGCTTTGATTGCAATTTCCAATGTTTAATTGAGGTTGATTGAAAGAATATTGAGAGAGTAAGTGTGAGATATAAACGGTGAAATGAAAAATATAGGTAGTCGAGATGCTGTTGGAGCACGGGGCAATGGTGGATTGCGCTGACTGGGATCAACGAACCGCGCTCAGAGCAGCCGCGTGGGGTGGCCACGAGGACATCGTTAAAGCACTCCTCCAGCACGGCGCCGACGTGAACAGAACGGACGACGAGGGCAGAACCGCCTTAATTGCCGCTGCCTACATGGGTCACAGCGAGATCGTCGAACACCTTCTAGACTTCGGCGCGGAGATCGATCACGCCGATAGCGACGGAAGGACTGCCCTCAGCGTCGCCGCTCTCTGTGTCCCCTCCAATCATGGCTATGCAAAAGTTAGTTCCGCTCCTCCTTTCGTGGCTGTCCACCGCGTCGTGGAAAGTGATTTGCGTATACAGGACGTTGCAAAATTGTTGGACGAGCGAGAATGAAACTACTACAGACACAGCTGGACTTTTATTTTTCTATGAAAAAAAAAAAGATAATGGAACACGACAGGGTTTCCGGCTCGAGTATGTTTAAGAATAGTTGAAACGAATAGGAAGGTTCGTAAGTGGGGGATGACCTTGAGCAAGCAATTGATTTGACAGACTATTACGCTTGTAGGAGTCACGATACATCAAGTTATCTAATTGTACGATTTCAAGTGTCTCCATAAATCACTGTACCTACCCCAGGCAAGAAATGTTTGATCAAACACAGTAACCAAGGAAATAGTATTTTGTATCTATAAAAACATCATTATTATTTCAATTGGTAGAATTCAAAATATTATTATCCTTTCGTTTTGATTTTAATATTGTCATTTCTTGACTCTCATATTAAACTCATCCAATCTCTCTTCTTAATTTCATCTAAAGTTTCTTGGAAACACAGTTCTCGTTTAATGAGCAAATACGGTCTTCTGCCACAGGTGGTTACAATACTGTTGGAAAGAGGAGCCGCAGTTGATCACCAGGATAAGGATGGCATGACTCCATTGTTGGTGGCCGCGTTCGAGGGGCACAGAGACGTTTGCGAGTTACTGCTGGAGTACGAGGCAGACGTGGATCACTGTGATTCCACTGGACGTACACCTTTGTGGGCAGCTGCCAGCATGGGTCACGGTTCAGTGGTTGCTCTTCTCTTATTCTGGGGTTGTTACGTTGACAGCATCGATAACGAGGGCAGGACCGTTTTGAGCGTGGCTGCTGCACAGGGTGGCACTGATGTGGTCAAACAATTGTTGGACAGAGGTATACCAAACGAAGTGCTCTTATTAAGAATATACATATGTACAAAAATTGAAAGAGATCGGTGAAAATATGAATTTTGGATATATTTCAGGCTTGGACGAGCAACACAGAGACAATTCAGGTTGGACACCGTTACATTATGCCGCATTCGAGGGCCACATCGACGTATGTGAAGCGCTATTAGAGGCTGGAGCAAAAATTGACGAAACTGACAATGATGGAAAAGGTGCTCTGATGCTGGCCGCGCAAGAGGGACACGCCACGTTAGTCGAGAGACTGCTGGAGCAACACGGTGCGCCAATCGATCAACATGCTCACGATGGAAAGACTGCCCTCAGGTGACAATCATGACACTTCAGATGGCCTGTCTATTCTGTTTCAGTTTATTGAAATATCCATGTAACAATGAAACATCAATTATAGACTAGCAGCTTTGGAGGGACATTATGACACTGTCAGAGTACTATTGACTCACAATGCAGACGTGAATGCAAAAGACGCTGATGGAAGAAGCACTCTTTATATCCTTGCTCTGGAGAACAGACTAGCTATGGCGCGATTCTTGTTAGAACATGCGCGCGCTGATGTGGAAAGTCGAGATTCAGAAGTATGTCAAAGTTTCATGTAAAATTTTCTAAATTACACTTCATTTCAAATGTGTAATCTTTCGTTTGAATTGCGTATAGGGAAGAACTCCTCTGCATGTAAGTGCTTGGCAAGGCCACGTGGAAATGGTGGCTCTATTACTAACAGAAGGTAGTGCCAGCGTGAACGCCTGTGACAACGAGAACAGAACTCCTTTACACTCTGCCGCCTGGCAGGGTCACGCCGCCATTGTCAGGCTGCTCCTGGAACATGGAGCCATCCCTGATCATACTTGTAATCAAGGCGCAACGGCTCTTGGTAAGAGATAAAAAACAAAAAGTTCAATAAACAATACTTCATCTTCTTTTTACAACATTGAAGTACATTTATTGAACATTATAAAGACAATTAATTAATATCCATTAGGTATCGCCGCACAAGAAGGTCATGAGCATTGTGTGCGAGCACTTTTGAATCACGGTGCTGATCCCAGCCACTCAGATCACTGTGGTAGGAACGCCATCAAAGTGGCTGCCAAAAGTGGCCACGACACTGTGGTTAGGTTACTCGAAGAACACTCGGCCAATCAACGAAGTCTAAGACCTGGTATCAATGGAGGTCTGTTTATCCTTACGAAATTGTACAATATAAAATTCTTCCTCTTGTATTATTTTTCTACTTATTATAATATCTGTCGATACGTAGGTGGAAGTAGTAGCGCTACTTCGGTAACATCGAATTCAACAGCTGAAACGAAACCATCATCCGCGATCCTGAATCCACTGTCGACACAATACAGTCCAGCAGAGTCGCCAGACTCGACGAAGAGAAGAAGCTGCGTGTCACTGGGCAACAATTCTAGCAACAGCAAATCCAGTAGCAACCTGACTGGCAGCACGAAAAGTGATCAAGGCAAATTCAATCAGAACTCGATGGTGAATCAGGTAATAAAAGTAGGTAACAAACGTTTTTTTAATGCTTTCCCGATTAACTCTCTTGTGTAACTTGAGGAGCCATTTCAGGCTCTCCGATACCACTTCCAATCGCCTTCATCCGTCATGTTTCATCGTCTCTCTATCTCTGGCTGCATGTTTTGTTCATTCTGTTTCCATGCACCCGTGTACAGATCGTTTTATCACTCTCCGTACGAAAATTTTGTTTATTTATAAGTACTAACTCGAACAACCTGTTGCACATTTAAGACATTCATTCGATTCATCCTTCATGCAAGTAGAGACCAACTCGATCTATACACGCTACAGATTTCGATTCCCATGGAAAGCACGTGTTATCTGACTCCTATAATTTTAGACACCATTATCTTTCACGCAACAACTGCAACAATGCTCGAGGGGAGCGAAGAGCCGACCGCTCAGCAAACTTTTGTCGCCTCTGAAAAGCGAACCGCAGAGTCCCATCTACGCTTCACCACCCCATTCGCCACTCAGCGACAGCCTGATACCATATTCACCGACGAACACGAGTCCACCGAGCGCCCAGATCGCAGCGAACGTGATACAGAGTCAGCTTGGAGTGTCGTTGCTATCTGGAAACCAAAACTTACCGTACAAGGCGCAGATTGGAGGGTACAATCATACACCGGCTATTTATGAACCCATCAACATAAAGACAGAGATCATCGAGAAGAACGATATCGGTAAACCGTTCGAGCTAACGAATGAGATGTTAGGTTTGAGCGTAACGAAAGACAAGAAGAATGGACTAGACGAAAAGAGAAACTCAGCGGACACTCATTTCACTAGAGATACTCATATGAGGATAATATTGGGGAATAGTGGCGCTGGTGTGGGCAGAAGCGTGAAACATGCCTCTGACCACACACCTGCCAGGTAAGATTGGATTTTAATTGAAGTACTAGAAGTATAAAGTATTTGAAAAGTCCTTCTTAAGTACATGTTTGTATATGAATTATTCATACTTTAATGATTTAGTAAATAGTTTTAGAACCAATACTGAACGGACTTTTTTAACATATTGTGGTGTGTAGATTCAGCAAAAGACTTTTCAAACAGAAAAATTCTTTGTTTCAGTGCAAGTAATGCAAAACCAAAGCGCAATGGCTTGGTTTCCAACCCAGCCATGAGATTAGTAGCAGGTGTTAGGAATGGAATTGAGAATGCAACTAATAGAAATAAACCTATTACAACGCGAGTTAATGGATTTCAGTGGAAGGCGGAGGCACGAAAGGAAACACCTTTGTAGGGACAGGTATTGATATAGTTTCACTTTTGAAGGTCGCAAAGAAACATCTATGTCATAATGATAAAAATGATGTACTTCATAAACAATGTATTTTGAATTATTGTAAAGAATGAATAAATCACAGAACACTTAACGAAATACTCCATTCATATAAGACTGTACAAATGATTAGAACAATGTATTTATTGTATTTTTCTTTTACAATGCACTGCATAATCTCATTATGCTTTATGAATATACATAATTACAATATCCATTCAGTCGTACACTTAGTGTTAGAATTTCAACAATTTCATCCCTTGAAGTTTCATTTAATTCAGTTCTCAGCTTTAATTTAAAGATTATTATTGAATGATAAATTCTTAAGTTTCTTTCTTTTTTGAATATTACAGTATTTGAATGATATATTCAATTTATAAACAAACAATAGAAGTAGCTGATCCTTATGCACTGTAATTACAGTGTCCAGCTTTGGAAGTGGTATCAGTAGATTTTTTGTATTCCTTTTTTATACTAAATCATAACTTATAAATATTTTGCATGATCAAAGATAACTATATTCATATATAACATTAGATTTTGCAATAAGACTAGAAATTTAGCAAACGTGAATTTTATACAGTTTTTAATGTTCTAATCTTTTCAGAATTACTGGTCTCACTAATCTACGTTTAAGTGTGTTTGTGTTGTGTCGAGTTTACTTATTATTTGCGTAATAATTGATGATAAAGCGTGCAAACAAATTATCAAAAGCTAATTGGAATCTTAATTTCTGTGATATAGGTTGTATTGTCAGAAGCATCGCAACAGGACACCGGAATCCGTTATTGTGGCTGGCGAATCGTAATCACCAAAAAGCGGAAGTCAATAAACAAATTTTTCTCCTTTTATTTGAGCAAAATCAAATTACCTCACATGAAAAAGTGAACGAGAATATGATTTATAAAAATGAATCGCGATTGAAAATGAGAAAATGAAAATTGCGTAATATACAAACAAAAAAAACCAAATATTAAACAGCATAGAGAAATATGTAGATTTAGATATGTAAACTTTACGAAACATGACTTTGTATAAATGTAACGTTAATAAAAATTCTTTACTGATCTCACTAATACTTCATATAAATGAAAAAAAAATGAACTAATTATTGAAACCTTTAAGGATTAATAGTCATGATTTTAATGGAAAAACGATATATTATGAGATTTTTTCTTCAGAAGACTGGATGCAGACGAAATGCATAATGTGATGTTTTAATGAGTTAACTGAAAGGATCATGCAGAATTGTAAAGATATGTATAAATTATATTGAGTGATTAAGAAAAAAAAAAAAAAAACTATAGCATGATAATGCAAACTCAGTTAAAAATACGTAAAATTATGGCCTGAAAATTAATAAAAACGTGTGTAAATACACATTCTTCATGTATTGTGCACGATCATATTTATTATATTGTAATAGATGCAAAATAAATAAAAAGCAAAATATCAATGTTAGTCATTTATTTATCTATACAATAAGGCTATTTTTTCATCAAAGTAATTTGATAATAATTCAATGGACCACTTCTATCTAAGGAGAACATAGTTGTAGCAGATAAATGTAGAACTACCTCATATGTTCTATCATGATTGTAAAAGGGTCATAAATACATCCACTGTCACAAGATATCTTTCTCAAGGTGATGTCCTCTATTTTTAAGTAATGTTCCATCCATACTCCTAACACTTTAGATAAGACTGTAGATTACATAAAAAGTCTTTTTTTCCACAAAACCTTACAACAAAAGAAAAATTTCCTTTTATCATTATTTTAGATAAGACTCCTTATCTTTTGTACATATAAAATACCCCAAAGATTTTGCATATTAACATATTTATACGAAAATTAAAAAATTTTAATAAAAAATATAAGTTTGTGTTAACATACTAAAATACTATAATTCAGTGATTAATATTAATAAATTGTTATACAATGAATCTACTAAGAAGAATACTAAAACAAAAACTAATAGTAATGACTGTAATTGGTGTATGTGCTGGAATATCCTCAGGACTTATTCTTAAAACTTTTACTTCACAACCATGGTCAACACGAGACATAATGTATCTCAAATTTCCTGGAGAACTATTCATGAGGTTGGTAAATTGTTTAATACTACCCCTCGTTACATCCAGCATTGTGAGTGCCACTTGCAACTTGAAGAAGTCAGGTAAATACAAAATGATTCAAATTATGTAATTTACTAGCAATAAGCCCTCCTTTTGTCACTTAACACCTTCATATGTATATATGCATACGTATGTATAGGTCAAATTGGAACAATGGCGTTGTATTACTATATAACAACAACATTCCTTGGGATAGCATTAAGTGTTACACTTGTTCAAACAATAAAACCTGGAGAATTGCTTAAAAATAAAAATATTGTTTCTCAAAATGCAACCAGATCTTTCATGACAGTGGACACAATTTTAGATCTGTTTCGGTATTTTACTCATAGCACTAATCAAATTTTATTTTATATCTTGATAATTTCACTTTTACATTTTTATATATATTACAGAAATCTTATGCCAGATAACATGATAATGGCATGTTTAACTCAGGTAATAAAATTTTAAAGTTTTTTTCTTCTGCCTTTACTCATTATAACAAATAATGTTTAAACAACAAAAGTAATAGGTAAAAAACTGTTTCAGTATCAAACTGTATTAGAAAATCCAAAAAATGAGTCAGGTATGTTGGAACAATAGTAAAAGTAAATTAAATTTAGAACAAGTTAAATTAAAATTTGATTTCTATTTTTTAGTACCAATTGATGAATGGAAAATAGACCATACAAGTATAGCAGGAACAAATGTATTGGGATTAGTATTTTTTAGTTTAGTTTTAGGATTAGCACTTGGAGATATAGATTCAAAAGGTGAACCTTTGATAAACTTTTTCCAATCCATGTCAGATGCAATGATGAAGATCATGAACTGGGCAATAATGTAAAATTATTGATTGTTAAATATATTAGCAAAAAGATCAACAATTTTTATTAAATATAAACATCCATGTTATACAGGCTAGTACCAATAAGTGCATTGTTCCTTATTTCTGGAAAAATTCTTGAAGTGGAAGACTTTGACAGTCTGATAAAACGATTGGGAATTTACATTTTAACTGTCTTCAGTGGTTTGCTAATCCAAGGTTTAATATTACTACCTTTAGTATATTTTATATGTACACGCAAATCTCCATACAATGTTATATTTAAACTTGGACCAGCTTTTGTCACTGCATTTGGTACATCATCTAGGTAATTGATTAAAACAGATATACTCTTAACTTAAATTAGGTTTGTTACAGTATTGTTTACCAATAAGATTATAACCATTTAAAACATAATACTTCAGTACAGCAACAGTTCCAGTAACAATATCATGCTTAGAACGTATTGGAATACCTTCTAAAATATCTAGATTTATTGTACCAATTGGTGCTACAATAAATATGGATGGTATAGCATTATATGAAAGTATTGGTGCAATTTTTATAATTCAATTGCATGGATTACAATTTTCTTTATTCAAACTTATAATAATCAGGTGTGTATTATAGTAAATATTCTTTTCACTCTTACCTTTTCACAGTAACATAAAGTAACAATATAAAAATAAACTGGAAAATTTATAGTATAACGTGTACTGTATCGTGTATTGGTGCTGCCGGTTTACCTAGTGGCGGTTATGTAATGTTGATAATGGTGTTAAATTCCGTGGGAGTTCCAGTGGAAGATGTTTCATTAATTATTGCTATCGATTGGTTTGTGTAAGTATATATCATCATCACATTCATACGATTAATAAATTAGAATATTATTTTTCAGAGATCGTTTTAGAACTACCTTAAACATCGTGGCCGATGCTTTAGGTGCTGGTATAATAAGTCATTATTACCAAAAAAAGAAACAAAATTCTGTGCCAGAAGAAATGGAATTATATACTTCGTCGTAACAAGGTCAAATTCTTATACGATCGACATTTATTAAATCAAAAACTTTTGCAATATTTAAAATGTAAGAATTAATATTAAATTATGTTGCTAATATACTCAATTACAAACAAAACGATATTTTATTTTTTAAACAAATTTCAATTTATTTCGATGAATACTACAGAAAACTCCGATATTTTTTGTTCAAAATCAGAAACACTTTGAGTCGTAATTTAATACTACAGAAGTGGTGCCAAATTCTCACGAAGGAACTTCAAATTTCACAACAAAACAATGTAACTTTTTTAACAAGTAGGTACATTGAAAAACTAGTAACTTAATAGTAACTTTAACATTTATAATAATTTTACAATGTAAATAATTAACAATACTCCTTTCAACTATTCACGTGCAATGGTAAATTCTACTAAAAAAAATATAGTATTCCACTTAATCGTCGTGAAAATAGTAACTTAACTAAACTGTTCATCTAGTGTAAAAGTATTTTGAGTGTTCCTAAATACATTAAAACATTCACTAGAGAAATGATATATGACGATAGCGGTAGTATAACTCTACTTTACATGGTCTATGGCGATAAACTAGCGAGTAAACCTAACCTATGCGACGCGCTGCCGCAGCGACTCCTATGACATTTTCTAGAAGCGAAGTCTATCTATGTGAACATTGCATGTATAGGAGAGAGATTTCAGAATGGCGACTGTCTTTACTTAGAAGAGTACTTATTCCCGCCCAGAAATTGTGTAATTAACGTGTGTCTTTGAAAAGTTCCATGTGTTTTTCGTCGCGTATTCACTGAAAATGATAATAGAAAATCCGGATCAATTCAAGGCGTGGCTCACTGCCGTCTTGGAGCCACTGTAAGTAGGCCAGCTTGTCCGAGTACAGTTTAGGTGTATGTGTATGCATTTGATGTTGTAAATGGCCGTACATGTGCTATGCTTTATACCCCATGCAGAATTATATTTACATGTATTACCCTGCCTGTACCGAAATGATTGTCGATAGATAATTTCGGACAGCGTCCCTACGTCGGATTTACCGTGCTATTAACAACAACCAGCCGAATAACGATATGGCCATTCACGGTGTATTTCATGTATATTTTACAGTAAACGCATTTCGAGTAATTCGAAGCAGGATATTGAATTCTGTTTCCTTTTTACCTCGCAACATAAAACTCAAATGCACTTACTTCGAATATCATGATAAAATTATGCTTTTAATTTGTTAATTTTTCCATATAAACAACTTAAGGGAATGGCTTACACTATAATGATTTGTTGACAGTAATGCTTAATTAAAACATCATCTCTCCCCTGAAAAAGAATCAATACTGAAAATATTAATTTCTTTCATATATGATTTTTACTAAGGACATCTTAAAATCCATTGGAACTATCTCAAAAATAGATACCTTAGTTAGATAAAAATTTATGAAAACAGTATATATATAAAATATGCATATATTGAATTATATTTTTTATATTATTGGAATTAATTTCATTACTAGTATGTAAGAGATTGATTACAAATATGTAACCAACTTCACTTACTAACTTGTAATTTATTGATTTAATAGAATTTAACATTTTGTTTTGCATTTTATAACCTTTAAATATGATATGATTGTATTATATTATACTGCAAATATTGAACTAAGAACTCATTAGTACATAACTTATTACATTATTGTAATGTGTAATAATTGTTTGTTATTTTTAAGATTTCATAAACATAAACACAGATGTATATTTAAATGTTATGTTTTATAAAAAATGCTTAGTGTATATTGATCCACAGTTTGCTTCTTTATATTTTAAATATCATAACAGGATACCATTGCTTTATAATGCTTTATAATTGCTTTATTAATTAAAAACATTAATATTAACTAATTTTACAGTTGTGATGCAGATCCTGCAGCATTAGCAAAATATGTATATGCTCTTGTTAAAAAGGACAAAACACTGGAAGAGTTACGAGGTGGAATGGTTGAACAGCTGGATGTATTTTTACAGCAAGGTATATTTATATGTTTAAACCTAAATAATTATTAAAATCCCTATTTCACTCTCTGGTATTTTCTTTGCAGAAACAAAAAACTTTGTGGAACTGCTATTTAAAACATTGGAAACTCAAGAGTATGTACTTCCACCTCCAAAAAGTAATCCAGATGGTGGTGGGACACCGCCAGGTGTAAATCCACCACCACCTGCAGTAACAGCAGAAAAAGTAACTGAAAGTACAATTCCAATTACTTCTATCAACACAAATCCCCCTGCTCCACTCCAGATGAATGGATCTGCACCTATGGCAATAGGTAAACGTGAAACCAGAAAATCAGACTCTGACAAAGTTGACAAAGAAAAAGAAAAACGTTCTAGGAGTCGGTGAGTTCAAGTTAAACAGTAAAAGATTGCAACACTTTTATAATACATTTTTCTAATATATGACATACATATATTTTAGAAGTGGTCGAATGAGATCTAGAACAAGATCACGTTCACGCTCATGGGAAAGAGATAGGCGTAGGTCAAGGAGCAGGGAACATATTCGTCGTGATCGTGAACGTGACAGGAGTCGACCATGGAGAAACGAATCTCCCCCAAATACTCGACGGCATGATAGAAGGTCAAAATGAATTTCATATCAAATAATAAATATCTGATTTAATTTTTTTTTTTTTTTTTGCAAATACAATCTCTTTTATAGACGAAGCAGAAGTCGTAGTACATCACCTATTCGTCCAAGAATACGAGACGGTCCTGACAATCGTGATCATAGAGCACGATTTAGAAATAGATCTCCGACACCTCTTCGATCTAGGTCTCGTTCAAGATCTTTAGATCGTAAAAAGATGGATCGTTCTGAAAGAATGGAAGTAGACAGGGCAGAAAGAATCGAGGGAAGCCCTGGTGGTGGTACTCCAACGCAGGATAGTAATCATGGAGATGTAGATATGAGGTTGTCTACTACTAGTCAGTCAATTCAAAGTGTCGTCGCCGTTGCTTCTAGTGTTCCAAATAGCCAACCAGGTTTCCAAGCAAAAAGGAGATGCAGAGATTTTGACGGTATGTATTTCTCAAGTTATTGCAAAGAAGAAGAGTGTAAGAAAACAAATAATATATTTGCAGAAAAGGGATACTGTATGAGAGGCGATCTCTGCCCCTACGATCACGGTACAGATCCAGTTGTATTAGAAGATGTAGCTCTAAGTCGCGTTTTGACCTTTGGTCCACATAGTGCTCAAGCACCAGGAACAGTACCTGTAACAGCAGTACCAGAACCACCTCCAGGACCTAATGGAAATGCTCCACCACAACACCTCCCACTTGCAAGTTTACCTCCTCCTCATTTAAGGAATCAGCACCATTCTAATATGGGTAAATATTTTCTAAATACAAAAGTTTAATAAATAATAAAAATTATGTGAAATGAATCTCTTTTATGTAAATTTTAATAGATGCTTTTGCGGAGTACAATCCAGATGCACCAAGTATGGAACCTCGAATGCCATGGGGAAGACATCCCCCACCCGCACCTGGAATTTACGGGAGGGGTCAACGGGAACTAATTAGTGTGCCAGTAATTCCACATACAAATTCATCTGAAATAACGCATACTCAAACGAATCCATTAAAACGTAAACAAGCATTTGATTTCAATCGTCTTGGACCAAAACAGCGAGTGGTACATAATCCAGCTAATTGTTCTCTGGAATTAAAAAAGGTTCCGCGTAGCCTGAACAACATAACCCAATTGAATAATCATTTTTCAAAATTTGGTAAAATTGTAAATATCCAAGTTAATTTCGGCGGAGATCCTGAGGGAGCGTTGGTTACCTTCCAGCTACCAGCTGAAGCAAAGGCTGCATACAGAAGTACAGAGGCTGTGTTGAATAATAGATTTATCAAAGTTTTTTGGCATAACAATGTTAACAACAATGCAGCTGGTGGTGCCATAGAAAACGTACCACCAGGTAAGTATTGATTATAACATTTTTACTATCTATATCTCTTCCACAAGTTATTGACCTTCTTGAATAGGTTAACAAAATATTCAGTATTTCTATCAATACTTTGTTTCATTTAGGATGCCGTCCTTCAGTTAAAGAACGCTTAGGTGCTGCTGTAACTACGCCAGCAAAATCCGAAGAAAACGAATATATTCCTACTCGTCGTTCAACTGAAGAACAAGTCTCGCAAACCTTGGTCCCAACATCGCCAAAAACTACCACTGTTCCTACACGGGAAGACAAAGTTCTTGCAATAAAAAAGACACAAGAAATATTAGCTGCTAAAGAAACCTTGAAAAAGAAACAAGAAGAAAAACGTAAAGAAGCATTAAAATTAACCGCTGATCTGCGTAAGAGAAAACAAGAACTGTTAGATAAGCATTTGATAGAGATTCGAGCTTTGATCGAGAAAGCCGAGAAGAATCCAGAACAAAAAGATGCCATTATGGCGACGATAAAAACGATGCAGCAGTCGATTGATAATTTACGTAAAGATTTAGCTGCTAATGGTCAAATTGGCGGAAATAAGACACAAATCAAATCTCGAGAACAAACACAAAAAGAGATCTTAGACGCAGAATTAGATTTAATGACTGCGCAACAAGAGGGACAAGACGCTGGAGAACTACAAAAGAGATTAAATGAACTACGAGCTCAAGCTGCTGCGTTAGGTTTAAACGCAGGTCCAGCTGTTGGTAGAGGTACAAGATCCAGTAGAGTTATACGGGGTAGTCATGCATTATCATATAGGGGTCGTGGTAGAGGCAGTTTTGCCCATGTTTCGGTAGATCATAGACCGACGAGTCTTCTAGTCTCTGGTTACGAAACCGAAGAAAAGGCTGAAGTTTTATCGCATTTTCAAGTAAGATTTAAATTACTTTTTCCTATATATGTGTAATGTACATTCTTTTGTACAAAATTAATTTTTGTCGTTAATATTTTAGCAATTTGGAGAAATAGTAAATCAAATAGTAGATGACGCAACACCTTCGATTGTAATCAATTTTAAATCAAGGAAAGAAGCCGAAGTAGCTTTAGTAAAAGGACGCACATTTCAAGATAGATTATTGTCCATAACATGGGTCTCCGGACATCACCTACACCGTGGCGGTGGCGGTAGTAATACAAACGCATCTGTACAACTTTCTTCACGTTCCGAACAAGCACCACCTACAACCGATGAAGATATTGACTTAGAAGTGAGTCCTTAAAGTTTTAAGTTAATTACAATGTAATTTTTAACTGTTAAAAATCTAAAACTTGACTGCATTTCATCTGATTTTATTAAAAATTTCTGTTCTTTGTCGACGAGAAAATAAATGATAAGGTTATAACAGATTCTGTTAATTTTTTTTATGGAATGTAAACCATGTCTGTAATAGGGCAATGCCGAAGCACTACTTCTTGAAGAAAATGAAGAAGAAGAGGACGAAGATGGTGAATCGCGAAGCTGGCGGCGATAGCACTTGCACTTGCGCCATTGCTGTATCGTCGTTTAATGCATCAAATGCCATGATTTTCACAAAAAAAAAATCAGGTTACAAGCTCATACACGTTATCATGAGTGTTACACTATTTGTTAATATTATTAAATATATACGCGTGCGCATTATAACGGTATTATAAAAAAGTGTACCGTGTCGAATTGCGCATTGCGAAATAGAAAACAGATATGCAAGTTTCCAACAACAACAAAAAAAACTAACCAAATTTATCCCATTATTTGTAGAATAAAATCGCTATGTTTTGTATGGGAAACATCTTATTCTGAATTCAAAGTCCTTTTCTTTCGTGTGTAGAATTGTGAATTGTCTGTTGTTATTTCTTTCGAGATATATCTATGATAAACAGTAGCCAGACTTTTAGAAATAGGTAGATACTTATAATTTCCAGAAATTTTACAATCGAAAGTGAGGAAACTATATTTATAACTTGTAAGATACAAATACAATTTATTATATAATTACCACATAAGATATAGCGTACAACGCTTCGAAGTAGTGTAATTGGTTTTTCTTTTTTACTTTCACTTAATGTACTATTTAAAATTGTTCCTGTAATGATGTACAGTGTAATGTATAATTGTCATGATTTCCTTTTATCGTATGTCAATGAAACTAAGTTGATTAGAATTGAAAAAAACTTATTCGTGCATAATTTTACACTAGTTGTTTCAATATATACTGAAAAAAATAATATATAATTGTTACATACAAATTCTTAAAATTAGTTTCCAAGGTAAGTATTAAATTTCGCAATAAATAAAGCTCGTATACACTCTGCGTGAAATTAATTAGAGAAAAAAAAATCACAGACTATGTTTCAACGCCTTTGGCATTTCGTTATACATATGAATAAACTTATTTGATACATTTTGAAAACAATTTTGAGTAAAATCCTGTCCAATGTTTCGTTACATATTTCATTTTTTTTTTAATTAAATTATGTAGATAATTTTTATACAAATTTTTACATATTAAAT